AAAGTGGGTAAAGGTTAAGGGAGCAGAATAAAGGTCGAGATACAGCGAGCAGAGGCCGGGGAACCGACGAGAGCAGACGCAGAGACAGATGACGGATCTAAAAGGCTGTGACGTTTTATGATTCTTCCAGTCTTTTTCTTTCCGTTGTTCCTCGTGTTTCTTACTTCAAAGGGATACCCTGATATAATCGTAGTTCCTTCACTTAAAATTATTTAAAAAAAGGAACTGCAATACAATCCCATATTGACAGTCGTCTTGTACACTCGTCCAGCGTTCCACATCGAATCGAACAGTCATTTTGAACAAAATTGGTAGTCAGTATATTTTCTCAGCTCGAGGGAAATGCTTGTTCCTGCTACAAATATCTGCATTTAAAAAGAAACCCTGCTTAATTGGAGGCACTGGGACCTGAGGCAGATGCGTCTCTCCGCTTGCAGGAGAACCTAGCTCCCATCTACTCTCTGAAGGTATGCTTCATCACTCACTGCAGTTCAAACGAAACTAAACGGCATCAACGCTCTACAAAAACACATTAAAATGGAGTTAAAAGACAGATCTACACTTACATGAAAAACAAAAACAAAAAAACAAACAAACAAAAAACAAGAGAGAGCGTGCAAAGCCTTATTCACCATCGACATTTCCACGACTAACCTCAGCTCCCTCTTCCGTCAAAAGGCATTTAACCGAGCAGCCTTTAGAGCGTGGGAGAGTGAGAGCCAGAGGGTATCCAAACGTATTTTGTCTCGAAAGCTCTAAACACACGCTCCCTTTCATACACTCAGGCCAATATCCTGCCTTTGCTGAACTCTCAAGTCGCCAAACTTGCTTCTGGTCAAGCGGTTTCCATTTATATTTATTTTCTTATTTGCACTTTGTCGTGTAATAGGTACGGCGATAGAATATTAACTCCCAGATTACAATTGCCGTTCTCACTGTTGTTGCTTTTCATCATTTCATGGATACTATGATATAACAAGATATGGTAGTTGTACTGACACCATTATTCTTGTAATAATGATTAATAGGAGGAGGAAGAGAAAAAGAAGGCGAAGGAGGAGGAAGAGGAGGAGGAGGAGGAGGAGGTGATAGATGTAAATTCATAGTTACATAAATGGAACAAGGAAAAAGCGATAGTATCTTAAACACTACACGCAATGTATAACTTTAAAAATAATGTCACAACCACTGCATTGCATCAAACTGAACCAAACATATCCTGAAAAATACCCAGGTGACCCTAGTTTGAACCATTGATGTTTGTATATTTTCTGTCAGTCCATTGGTGAGCAAGGGATTAATTTGCAAAGATATCCGATTTTCAGTCAAATCGGAGGTCACATGAATTTTTTTTTACCCCTGCTGACCTTAGTAATGATCCAATATGCACAAATTTTATATATATAAAAGGCAATTTTGATATATACATCATAGATCTACATAATTATCTTGTCAGAAATAGTCTATTGTCCTACCCCATAGATTTGAAGAAGCATGAGATGCGAAAAACGGATAGAAAAAGGTTATTTTTTTAGTTAAATGGCCACCAGCGCTTCGACTAATAAATATATATGTATATATATGTATGTATGTATATATATTTGTATATATATATATCAATATATATATATATATATATATATATATATATATATATATATATATATATAAGTATAAATGATATCTAACCATAAATGCATATGATTCCATTTGTTTATAGAACAACATTCCTCAAGACTACCATCAAACCCGTATAAAATAATTTAAATGTACTGTCACGAATTCAGTTAATTAACAAAGGCTCAAAAACTAATGAAAAGTATGAGATGCACATGGTGAATTATATTTAGAAATATTCTATTGCATATATCTTTATGTATGTAATGTAACAATAATAGCATATATCCATCTTAACACATTTTTGCATGCACCAATATACAAGTCTAAATCTATTTGACCATAACACACACAGACACACATATGCATACATATATATATGCATATACTTTTTTGTATTACACACACACACATACACACATTAATATATGTGTGTGTGTGCAACACTCGTATATACATACTAGTGAAAACTCGTCTAGTAAAAAATATCAGAAACAGTCATTCTAAACACAGAAAGGAAGCAGGTACAGTGACATCATTATTGTTGTCATTATCAATGTAATCATCATAATTTCAGATTGCGAGTCTGCGAGCGTGCATGACACTCGCGCACGTAATTCACCTCCAGACTGCTAATCGGCACGGAGGAATATCCCTGCCGGACTGGAGTTAATTGAGCGGGATTCGCTTGTTTACTGTCTCGGCCGAACGTTGCGTCGCTCCTCCCTGGCCCGCTTGCGACCGAAACTGATTAGAGACTGTTTCGAACGCTTTGAAGCTTCACTTGTTTTCGCTGATTCGAGACTGTTTCGAACGCTTTGAAGCTTCACTTGTTTTCGCTGATTCGAGACTGTTTCGGACACTTTGGAGCTTCTCTTGTTTTCGCTGATTCACGCTTCATGGTCATGTTTATATCAGGTCAGATACGTATCTGACGTTGCGATATTACATCTCCAATAGAGCGTCGAAATATCAGTTACATATACATTATTTTACCATTTATTTCCGTTCATGACTTTCATACATTTGTCGCATTTGTTTCTTTGTGTGCCTATGCCAGGGCACGCGTGCGGCTTGTAGATCTGTGCCGAGGAAATGAAAGGCTTCCTCTGGCAATACGAAAATTATCTGAATAGAATACGAAGGGGAAGAGAGCGTTCTATGATGAACACCCGTGGTGAGAATTTGGGGCTGTTCGGCCGAATGCAGCGGGGAGCTCGCCTTCCGTCAGCAGTTTGGGTGAATTGCTGTCGCGGAGTCAGGTCTCTTTAATCGGTATGCGTATGTACATATATACCATATACATATATACACACATGCATATATGCTTGTATACATATATATACATACACACACAGGCATATATATATATATATATATATATATATATATATATATATATATATATATATGCATATATGCGTGTATATACATATATATACATATATACTCACACAAATATATACGTATATATATATGGATATATGCGCATATATATACATATATATAGACATATATATACATACATACATATATATATATATATATATATATATATATATACATATATATATACATATATATGTGTGTGTGTGTGTGTGTGTGTATGCGTGCGTGTGTGTCTGGTTGTGCTTGTTTGAATATGGGAGGTACTCTTGACTGAAATAATCGCATCGTTTGAAGTAGTAGGAAACTATCCCTAATCTTTTCCCAGCTTAATGTTCTTAGTACATTATTCATTACGAGCAGAGGATCTGCAATTAGACAGAGAAAAAGGCTGGAATGGAACACACACACACACACATGCATACACACATATAAACACAGAGTATATTTGATGTAAATGCTCTTATGTGACATTCTGTTTATGGATGTGCAAGTTACATAGAAGTGTGCATATACACAATCATTGTTTTCTTCGTAACATCCCTTTAACCTAACATCTCACGCAACTGACTGGCTCGAGAACGTTTCTGAAAAAAATCTAGAAAACAGAGAAAAATATATCCGATATGCTCTTATTCTGATTAAACCTTTTCCGTGAGCGATTGAAACAAACAATGGAGAGATTATCTTAAAAACGATCAAAGATGGAAAAAAATACTTATCGGTTATAGAAAAAAAAGGATGAGAAGGCGAGAAATAAGCAGAACAGGAGAGGAGGAATAGGGATGGAAGAAGGAGGAGGGGGAAGTGGAGAAGGAAGAGTAGGAAAAGTAAAAATAGAAGAATAATTAAATGAGGGAGAAGTAGTAATAGAAGACAGAGAATGAGAATGAGAGAAGGACAAAGGAAATCCTATCCATGTTATAGGCAAAAGTTTCTCTCTTAATACGTTCGAATGCTATTCCGGCGTCGGATTCGAGGCTTCGATCCTTTGTGTTTCGAAGCGTTTCATTACTTATTAAATCAGAGGGAAAGTTTGAATGGCTGACTGGCTTCTGGGAAAGTAATTTATTTGATGAGCAGTGTGGAGCGATACTCAATCGAGGGACGAGTAAATGAATGGATTTTGATGGATAAAGATTAGGGCCGCTGGCATCTCTTTAATTTGCATAGGAATAATCTAGGGTCTGTAATTTAGATGTTGAATAGATTAATGGTTGCTAGCAAGACCTGTAGAAATTCCACAAAAAAAACAAAAAACAAAAAACAAAAACGTATAGACGAGATACTCCTCCTCTCCTTTCTCCCTCTTTTACTCTCCTACCTCTCGCCTCTTTCCTTTTTCCTTTCCCTCTCCCTTTCCCTTCCCCTTTCCCTACCCCTATGTCTTTCCCTTTCCTGCTCTGCCACCCTCTCTCACTCCCAAATCTCCCTTAGATTCACTCCCCTCATCCGCCTTTAAGCCCAGCATCTGCCCAGCCACCCCCCTCCTCTTCCTCCTTAATCTCCCGCACCTCCTTCGCCCCCTTATACCCCCCCCCTCTACCATCCTCCTTTCGCCCTACGATCCCTCTCCTCTCCCCTTTGCCCATTCGCCTTTCCTCTCTAAGTCCCCTTCGTTTCCTTTTCCCCATCACCTTTTTCTCTTAGCCTCCTTTCTCTCTCTCCTTCTGAATCAATCCCCTTCCCTCCCCTTTCTTCTTTTGGTCCCCATTCTTCTTCTCCTTCCTTTCACCATCTCCTCCTACTTTCCTGCTGATCCTTCCCCCCCAGATTGTCGTATAAACAATGAATCTTCATAGACTTGATGACCTCGGTACTTCATTGCAGTACACTTACCTCGAAGAAGGAGAGTGACAGAAACGACAACAACAACAATAATGATAATAATGATAATAATATTGATAATAATAATAGTGATAACAACGCCAATAATACTAATGAAAATAATAATGCAAATAATGATCCTAATAGTAATAATAGCAATGATAAAATAA